TCAACGAGGCTCACTCAACACTACTTATCCCTCTACCTCAAGATCCACTCAAAATAGATCAATCAATTCAACAAATTTTCCCTTTCTGCTACCAATTCAAGATCGTAAACTTACTCGAGCAACTGTACTAGCTCTACAAAAGATTTTTATCTTTGAAAAACTTTCTAATAGCTACTTCCTTACCATTCTCGAACCACTGCCAGATGACCCCACTAAACTTTGCGCTAAAATCCAGGACTTTTTTCTAATTACAGAATGAGCTAGATTGCCATTTCTCTCTGATTATCAAGCAAAATTAATGCAATACTACATAGTAGAAAGAATTCCACCTAATTACTTTAACTTACCAGAAGCAAAACCCAGACTTTCATCAACTCCTCAAAACCTTATCTCAGCTATTCGCCACCTGTTCCTCTGTAATCCAACTGATGCTTCAGAATTTCATAGATACATTGATATCCTTAGAGAACACTACAGCTTTCGTCGTATTCCCAATAACTTCTTTGTGCAAAAAAAACTACTTCCAGTAGATCCACATGCTATTAAGACGACTGCAACTTACAACTTTTCTATCTCTAATACTCACAAAGCTAAAGAATTCATAACATAGATCCAAGACAAATATAAAGTTAATATCCCACTTCCACTCACCTATATGACTGTCAACCCTACAAATAAACCTCTACTCCCGAACGAACATATCCTTATTACTGAAGTAAATCTAACAATACCAATTAGCAACCCCAAAGCTCTAGTTGATATCACCTGACTTTTAAGAGAACACTACTTCTTCTACCAAATTTCAAGCGAGTGGATCGAAATCCAGATTACGCCAAATACTTCAGAAAAACCCTCACTTCCTTCTCAAATTTCAGAAATCATTTCCTACCTTGAGCAAACAATCCTTTATCACACAATTTGTATTCCAATTACTGAACAAGAAAAAATCAAAAGCACTATCACAGAACTACAAAACCACTTTAATTTTAAAAGCATACCTTCGTACCTTCTCAATCTCTCCAATCTACCAGACCCCTGCTGGGATATTCTAGACAATTATTCTCCACTACTATAAATGAAAATTGGCAAACTGGCTTACTGCCTACCAGATATAATCTGATGAATTTATACTTCATATTCTTCACTATACTATTTTATTATACAAATACTTCTACTCCTAATCTCTTAATTATTATTACCCCTTTAGAAATCGATACTCTCTTTAACTCAACAGATAGACAATTTATTGTATGGATTAACAAATTTATTTACAATAATTCTACACTTTCACTTCTTAATTACATAGTTTAGAGATTTTTTGACCATCTTAGCTAAGAATAGGTCGAGGGTAAACCTGAGCCCTAACTTCTACTCCCTTTTGTTAAATGTATAAATTTGTACGAGTTGTATTCAATTATATATTTTAAAATAAAGGAATAGAGGAAAGTCCTCTCTTAAAAAAAAAAAACAAAAAAAAAAATCTTTATATAGTTTATATTAATTTTAGTATCTATATATATTTGAACCTTTTTTTTTAGATTTCTTACTAGTTTCTTTCTTATATCTAGCTAGTAGCCTGAAAAAATTAACTTTAGCTTAGCTCTAGATACTCTTAGCCTATTTCTTTTTAGTATATACTTCTAAGTATATATTTTTTTTTAGTATAATAAATCTAATAGCAAGACTAATACTATATATTTTTCATTTAAAAATCTAAGTATTTAGTTTTTTAATCTTAATTTCTAGTTTCAAATTTGGTCTTCTTGTAGCTTTATTAAAGATCTTTACTACTTCTATTTTTTGAACTTTTTAAATAGGTTTTAGTTATTTTAGTTTCTTGGATTTTTACACTAAAGCTTTTATCCAAGATAGAGTTATTAAAATTACAAATTTCTGGAGGTGTGGTGATCTAGTGTAGTGGTTAGGTTGTCACCCTCACCAAGTAGCAGATCAAGAGTTCGAAACCTACCGAGGATGAAAAATTTGAATAATTACTTGTAGTATAGCAACTATCTTTTATTGATCAGTTGGAATAGAATACCTGTAACTATGATCACATCAGCAAGACTGGCAGGTCTGGGGTATTTATGCAATCTGGGTTACATAGAGGAATGCAAACTGGTAATAGGTGGTGCAAACACTAGATAAGTCACTAGGTCATGAAAATCTGTAGAACTGGGAAGACAGAAGCCCATTTGGAAAGACCTGAGTAAAGAGGTAGCACAGATCTTCAATGGTACTACTGTAAAGGCTAGACTCAAGAAAAAAGAAACCGAAGTGGAAGAACCAGATAAGGCATGATCGGTGTATGGTAAAGCCGGTTCACCAACTAGGCCGCCAGGCTAATCGGAAGAAAAGGTTATAGCAGTGCCAATGAACCAAGAACAGGTCACAGTCCTTTTAGGCCATTTGGATTGGAAGTCTGGAACCAAAGCAGAGGGGAACCGAAGTACTGGAGATATGCTGTGAAGTGGGTACCAGGGCTTGGATAAACTTTGCAAGGGCATAGCCCTGTTAATAGGACCGTAGAGTGGGTAGGTTGTTGACAGGGAAGCACTCTGAGCCTTGCTACTGGGTAATGTACCCCTTAAAAAGGGTACAGCCTGCATTCCTAGCACAAAAAAGGAGACCACATATCAAGTTAGACAGCACTTGTTATATGAGAACTTAGGTGCTAACTGCTAAGTAGATACAAAAAATCAGAGAGTTTAAATAGACAATCTCCTAGTAGATTGCAGGTATGGCAACTAGTATAGAACTCTCAGGTGGATTACTTAAATAGGCAATCAAAAGTTGTATATGTGGCTAGTTGTACACTTATTAATGTACCAAAAAATGTCTCAATATAGATATACAAAAAACACAATAAAGCATTAAGCAACCATGATATCGGTCTTTAACAATAAAAAAAAAAAAAAAAAAAAAGATTACAAATTTCTAAATTCAACTGATTATCAAATAGCTATTACTATATTACAAGCTTATTTTTCAAAATTGTTATTTATAGAATTTAAACTCTAGACTTACTATTTGATAAAGTAATAACTAGACTATTTTACTAAGTTGCCAAACTTTAATAATTATATATTTTACTATATATTTAATTATTATTTTTATATTTAATTATTATTTTATTCAAAAAACAAAATCTTCAAACGAGACAACTCTTCCTGACGATCACTGTGACCAAAATTAGAGCAAAACCAAAATACAAAAAAAATTACAACAGGACTAGATAAACATGCAGTGAGCAATTAGAAAAGAATAGTAGTTATTGTGAGAGAAAGTTAGTTTCTTAAGACACTAGAACTCAATAGAAAATAAATAGACTAGTTACTTTGAAGAAACGGTTTTTGGCAAAGAAATTTTGGAGTAAAACAGAAAATTGGCTAGACCCCGAACACAGATCTCTACTTGTAACATGTAAACAAACAACGTGACAAGTATATGAATTAGGATATCTAACGTAAACAAATCAACAAAGCATCGGACACATAAACAAGCAAATCAAGAATAGAAGTCTAGATTGGTATGCAAGAACCAGTAACACAGAACAACTCGGGGACATCAAAAATATCAAAGAGTTATGTAAAGCTTGAGGAATACTGAGGCATGTACAAAAGATTGGTAAATGAGCAGAATTTGATAGTAGAAAATCATAAGTCAAACATTTTGAGAAAAAATAAAGAAATTGCAGCACTTATTGGTACAGAACCAGAAACAGTGTGTGTGTTCCGAAATATAATTGAGCTTTATAGCTATTGTGAGTACTTGTGGGCAAGAGATAAAGAACTAGTAAGTCAAGATAAAAGTACAGCTTTTGCGTTAAAGAAACAGGACATTAAAAGTTTAATAGACCATGAAGTTAGATGTGTTGACTATGGTATTAAAGAGATCCAGTCTGACAAGAAGTCTGGGTGTATAGTGAAAGAAGATAGTAGGCAAATGAATAAGCTTGAAGAAGTAGTTGTAGTAGTTCCAGAGAAGAGTAAGCGACAAAATGAAGATCACAGTGAAAATAAGAGTAAAAGGGCCAAACTAAACCATGATAGTGTGGCAAAAGCTTTGAAAACGCATGAAGAAGTGGTAGTCGAAAAACAAGAGCTAGTATTCCCAAAAGAAAGTGTATTTGGAGAACCAAGTACTGTGGATGGGAAGATGCAAGTTAAAATGCACCAAGATACAGTGGTTGTAAAGTCAACGCATATATTGGAAGTACCGGCTAAATCAGAAGTTAGTAAAGAAAATGGTAGATCAATGAATAGTCGGTTAGCAGAGCATCACGTGAATCTGGCACAATCTGAGACCCATACAATATAGGATATACCTCTCAAAGCACATCCGGCACAAGTACGCAAATGTCTCCATTTCTATGGTAAAATAAAATTCGTACAATGGAAACCATTCGGCAAGAGTAAAACACTTGAATTCTCAATTAAATTTTGGAGTGAAAGAAGAATGAGGGTGTTTAAGAAGGTATGGGCAATTCATTTTGAGGAAGGGAAAATATGCAGAGTAACATCAGGCAGTTTTGAAAGAGGAACACTTGAAGAAAGAGCATCCTTTAAAGCAGTAATTAAGAATGTTCCTACAACAGCTATTGAAATGCTGCTCCTGCGTCAGTTGAGGGTAGTAAATGCAAAGGCAGTATACATTTCACATAATAAAAATCAAAATCAATGATGCACAGCAACAGTGTATTTTGGTTTACAGGAAGAATTAGAGACAGCATTAGTAAGGAAAGTGTATTATTTTGACGTTAAGCTGGAGTAGATCAATATATGGAATGAAAGCAGAAGAGATATGGTTAAAGAAGAGACAAATAATAGGGTAGTCAAGTCTCAAGTTGCTGAGGTAGCAATGAGTAAAGGTAGAAAATG